TATCTATCTATCTATCTATCTATCTATCTATCTATCTATCTATCTATCTATTACCTACCTACCTACCTACCTGTCTGTCTGTCTGTCTGTCTGTCTGTCTGTCTGTCTGTCTGTCTTGGCTAGCCTTTGTAAAGGATGAAGCAAGAAGAAATCAACTCAGCCAAAACAGAATTGTCATATAAAGGCAAGGCAGCTATCCCTGATTTTGAAGGATGGGAAAAGAATGGCCAAAAGTCTGTTGATTCAAAAGAGAAAGAGGAAAAAGATTTAGGATTTAAACTGGGGGACTGATGTATATATAGAGTCTGACTCCCATATCCTGAAGTAGCCAGGCCTCCTATTTATGCCTTATCATTGATATCATCATCAATATTACTATTCTCAACTTCAGCCATTTTAAGATGTGTGGACTTCTACTCCCATAATTCCTTGCTGCCTAGAGAATTCTGGGAGTGGAAGTCCACACATCTTAAAAGTTGTCAAAGTTGAGAAACACTGGTCTATATCTCTTCTTTATTGTCATATACATTGCATATTCTTGAAAGATAAAAAGGGAGAAAATGGAATATGAAGTACTAAACAGGAAATGCAGGTGAATTTACTTGCAAAATATTGGTTGTATTGTAGCAGAGAACTGTAAGGTAAACAAGCCAAAGAACCCAGAAGTCTGGGAATTCTCAGCACAAGGAAAATGGACCCCTTAAGCTTTGCAGAATTCCATATTGCAATTTGTGATACTGCCAATTGAATGTTTTCAATCTATGTTGAGCAATAGCAGAGCTGGAGGTAAATTAGTTCAGCTGCCCAACCATAGTAAGAAACAGGCAGTTCCAAGACCAACACCAAACTTTGTGGAAATCTTGTGTTGTTAGTTGCATGGTGTAAAAGGGGGTGTTGTCAAAATACAGTGATATATTTATTTATTTATACATTTTATTTGCCGCCCGATTCATATCCAAAGGCCCTGGGAAGCTCACAATATTAAAATATATATACATATACCTGATAGTAAACAACTGACTGCTGCAGTTGCTTAATTTTTTTATCACATGCTTCTTCCAGCTCTGTCCAGTTTTTGCTCAGTTCCTGGCACTTTTCTTTGATTCTCTGAGAAGATATGCACGTATCTTCTGCCATAGCATTCCCCTTTTCTAGAACCCTGGATATTTGCTGCTTATGGGCTTTCACTTCAACTTGTAATTCCTAGAAGACAAACAGGCAGAAATGTGATGGAAAGGTGACAGGCAAATAGACGAAAGAAACATCCAAGAGAAACTTGGAGTCTATGTGCTATTTTTCAAAGCCTAAAGTTTACTGAGTTATTTTTTGTTTTTTACCAAAATCTCAAAACAAAAAATTACCTTCTCCTAGTGTTTGTTCTTATATCCAGAGATGTATCTGAACCAGAAGAGAAAAACTTGGATTCCTGAAACTCTTCTTTTCATTCTGAAGGGAAAGTTTACTAAATGCATCTATTATTTCTTTGATGGCATCTAATATTTCTTTGATGGCAGTTGCAGGAACAACTGTGTTGATGGCTTGGCCATCATTGTTCTGCCAAACAGGCCATATTCATTCTTAATTACAGGTATATAATTTTCATGATTTAAACCTAATGCATGATATTGCTAATATTTTGAAACTGGTCTCCAGTGACATTTTTAAAAAAATCCAGATCGTTATACTGGTTAAAGTGCTAGAAACCAGGAGATTGTGGGTTCTAGTCCTATCTTAAGCATGAGAGACAGCTGGGCAAGACCTTGGGCCAGTCACTATCTCACCTCACCTCACCTCACAGGGTGGTTGCTGTGGTGAGAATAAGAGGAGGAACAGAGGTGGTATTCAGCAGGTTCTGACCAGTTCTGGAGAGCCGGTTGCGGAAATTTTGAGTAGTTCAGAGAACCGGCAAATACCACCTCTGACTGGAGATTTTACAGTATCCTGCCCCTGCCACGCCCACCAAGCCACGTCCATAGAACTGGTAGTAAAAAAAAATTGAATCGCACCACTGAGGAGGAAGGAAGGTATTAAACAACTCACGGTTGCTTTGAGTTATTTATTAAGCAATAAAGGCAAGATACGAATCAATCAATCAATCAAACAAACAAACAAAATTCATAAATAATTCAATGCCAAGCACTAAACGTCTCTATGGCTCTTGACCACCTTGCAGATTTCAATCAAAACAGGAAAGTAAGCAAAGCTGAGGCATCTTGAAAGAGTACATTTTTTCATTTTGTTTTTAGACCTGTGTTTAAGGTAGGATTGATATTTGGATAGGCTGAATCCTTGCTCCTGGCAAGTTTTCCATCTGACTGAAAGATGAGCTGCTAACCCAAATGTAAAAAGTGAAATGCTTTTGAAAGTCCCCAGTCCGATTTTCAGAAGAACCATTATAATTAAGACTTACCTTCTGCTTCTGTAGCAAGCTTTGAGCCCCATTTAAAGATTTTCCTTGGATTGTGGATTTGGCAATGGACATTCGCTCACCAATCCACTGCATTTCCATGTCATGGTAATGGTAGAACTGAAACAGTTCCACACTTGCCTCCAACAGATGCCCCCTCTCCACAAGAGGTTTTTGGAGGGAATCAAATCTGTAGATTAGATTTTTTTTTAAAAAAGGCTGTTCACATTTGTATATTTAAAAAGAATCATTAGGGCTCCTCACTAGCTAAACATTTCTAATTGATTGGTCCTATTAATACTAATGCCATTACTACTATTAGTAAAAAATAATAATGCTAGACCAGAAGAGAAAGCAATATAGGGATATTTTCCACAACTATTTTACATTATAATTATCCAATCTATGGAACATGTGGCAATTTTAATCCAAGTGTATTGCTTTTGTGTAATTTGCTGTATTTTCTTATGCAGTACTTTCCAGAAAAATAAAAGAGATTAAAAAAAAAACCTTTTGGGGTGACTGCAAACAGCATTTTTTTTTATTATTTATTGATCTGCAAAGACAGAAACATTCCACATAATAAGGTCACCTGATAGAGGTGATTGTGCAATGAAGATGTGTATAGAAAGTTTAAAGGTTACACTAAGTGTGCTAAACCAAACAAACTTGATGTACCTATTTCATACCTTTTTCTGACTTTAAACGAGGCAAATCAAATTTGAAGGTTTCTACTGAAATTTAGCCGGGCAAGCTGGGCAAGCTGAGAATTGTACACCTCCCAGAGTCACCATGTGTAAGTTGGGAGGTCCTATAAATCTGCTTAATAAATAAATAAATGTTCTGGGGACAACAAAAACTGCTCTGAGGCTGCCTGGAGACCATAGGTTGCCTCCTTTCTCTTAGCAAGTATTTAACTTTAATATTTAAATATTTAATTAATTAATTGAATATTTAATATTTAAAATATTTTATTGCTACAAAAAAAAAAATCCTGTGAGGCAGATTAAGGTGAAAAATATGTCTTGTTATTCTTCCATAGAAGAAGGGAAAAATGACTTGTCTGCTGACTTTTCCGACAGCCAATCTCAGTATTCAGTCACTGTAAGCATACTAGTAGTTTTTTTGCTCCCTACCTTGTACAATAATTTGCTCTAGTTTAGAAGTAATCTTTGGATTTCTGATCCCTGGAAGAAGAGTAGCTCACCTTTCCAGATAACTCTGGGTCTCATCAAGAATCTTCTCTCTATTGAAGTGATGTGTAGCTACACTCTTGGCATGAGACACAATGGAATTCATTTTCTCAGCCAGTCCATGCATTTCATTTTCTAGCTGTCTATGCTCCTTGAGTAAATTGCGACTGGAACGCAAATCATGACCCAATTCTGCATTTCGGAGCATCCTTTCTATCTTCTCTATCTTCTCGTCAGCATCCTAAGGAAGGAAAAGTAGAAATCAGATGCTCAAACTTATTATGCCCATTTCAGAAAATTTCCAGATCTTCCCAATTCAATGCTTCTGTCTTTTTGCATTCAGACAGTACACCTGCTTCTATATTTGATCTTGCTAAATTTTGTGGGCCAACATGTAGAATCTGGCTATAGGGAAATTAAAAGTGGCGCTTCCATTTCTGTAATTTCCTATTGCCTTTATATAATGTCTTAGATATTTTAGTATTTGTAGGGTATTTTAAATTTAACTGTAATAAATCATTCATTCATGCATTGCTCCTGACCTCAAGAATCTCCATCAGTTGTTCCTCCTGGCCAGCCTGCCTCAATTTATCTCCATGTTCTATCATCTTGCTATAGAGTTTCTCCCATTTCTTCTTTATTTCCGACATTTTGTCCTGAATGGAATCTGCAGCATAGTGGTCATTTTGTATCAGCTGATTTCCAGCCTAGAGAAATGCAATACATTCAGTCAAAAACACATTTCTTGATAACCCCCAAAATTGTAATGGTTGTTTCTACCTGCCGATCTTTATTCAGAGAAAATGCATGCATAGAGTAAAACTTCATAACTCATACCAATTGTTGATCATCAGTTATCAATAACAATAATATTACACCTATACATCTTGAGTGAAGACACACTGTCAAATATTATCGAATTACTGGCCCTTCTACTAGTTATCTTTCTACCTGCATGAGATCACCTTACCGTCATTACCCCCATAAAATGCTTCTTATTGGCCATCATTTCTTGTTCTGCAGCCTCATGCCTTTTCAGCTTCCGTAAGATATTTGTGGGGTCACGATAGGACTCATCTGAGGCTATCTTGTATTTTTCTTCCATCCATACCAAGAGTTCAGCAGTGTCATGAATGAACTCCTAAAATTGTACACATTAGATTTTGAGAACTTGAGTAGAGAGTACAGTATAATGTGCCTTACACCTAGCATATTAAAGACTCCTATGACCCAGAATACTTTCATAAAAAGTATTTTGTTGACTTTTTGTTGAAAATGGGGGGGGAAAATGAAATGATGATTTCTGGATTTGCCGATTAAAAAGGTTGACTGTATAGGGATAGAGAAGAATTATGTGATGTAATCTTAAGAGAGGGAGAAGGGATAATAAGTTGGTTTGTACCTGCTATAAAAGGATCAGAACTCAGTTCTTTAATTATCTTTTTCTTTTCTTGTTTGTACTGTTTTTCACTCTTTTTCTTTTATATTTTTCCTAATTCACATTTATGTATATTATTATGCTTATCTTTTTATGTAAATATCTTATACATACATACATATATATATATGATACACACACACACACACACACACACACACACACACACGGGTCTTTGGTTATTCGAGTTTTCTCCCACGTAAAATTGGAAGTATTTTGGCGACGTTTCAACGAAATCTCATTCGTCATCTTCAGGCTTGTGTCTTCGGCTTTGTGCTTCTTGGAGTAATGTGAGCTTGCAGCTGCTTCTTTCTTTTAACTGCCAGTGGGAGTGCGACTTGACTGGGTGGGGGCTTGGCTGTGTTCTGATTAGGTGGGGGTGTGTTCTGTTCAGGTGGGGGCTTGGCTGTGCTCAGGTTAGTCTTAGTTGTTGGGGGATTTGAGCTGGTGAGCTGTGATCCTGTTGTTTGGCTTCGTATTCGTGGTCGTGCCACATCTTCATGTTGGGCATCAGTTCTCTTCATGTATGGGTCAGAGGAGTTTGAAGCGGGTAGTGATGCAGCTGTGGTACGGCTTCTGGTCCGTGGTCGTGTCTCATCATCTGTGTGGGTGTGAATCTGCTTTCTACGTGGAAGTGTGGTGGTAGCATCTTGTGTGGCCCTCGTGGGTGTGGGTCTGGTGTCATTCTTCATGTTAGGTACTTATTTGTTAATGAGGGCGGGTTTCCAAATGGCTGGTAGGCGGGAGGTATCATCTCATTTATTCATGCTGTGTGGGCGTTTTTCTATCTCTATGGCTTCTCTGATTACTCTGTTGTTGAAGTGTTCAGTTTTGGCGATAGTTCTGGTATTTTTAAAGTCAATCTCATGTCCTGTGGAAGGGAAGAGGAAGAGGTCCAGGGAAGAGGTCGGTTCTTCTTTTTTGATTGAGTTCTTGTGTTCTTCAATGCGTGCACTAATTCTTCTGTTGGTTTGTCCGATGTATGTGTTGGGGCAGGCGGTGCATGGGATTTCGTATACTCCTTGGTTCTCTAACTCGATTCTGTATTTAGGGTTTCTTAGGATGGTGGATATTTTTCTGTTTGTGCAGAATGCTGTTTTAATCAGGGGTCCCCAACCACCGGGCCACGGACCGGTCCCAGTCCGTGGAACATTTCCTACCGGGCCGCCGGTTTGCTGGGTGCCGCCATCTTGTTTGACGAGAAAGTGCTTCTGGGTGAGCTTTTCCGCTTGGAAAGCGACGTTTGGGTCCTGAAGGAATCCTCGCACCTTAGTTTCATCGAAGGGGGGGGGGCTTCGAACGAAACTAAGGCGCGAGGATTCTTTCAGCACCCAAGGCAAGGTGAGCCGAGCAACCGTCCCGAAGCCGTCCCGAAGCGAAGCCCATCGACAAAGGTACAAAGGAGGAGTTGAAGGTGGCGGGGAGAAGCGGGGGACGGCTGGCTGGCTGGTCGCTCGGCTCGCCTTGCCTTGTCATGCGTGCTGATGCCGGTACCGGGCCATGGATCATTTTGTGATGCTGGTACCGGGCCGCGGCACAAAAAAGGTTGGGGGCCACTGGTCTTAATGTTGTGTTTTTGGAGGATCTTGCTGATTTTGTCTGTAGTGCCTTTTATATATGGGAGGAGGGCTTTGCCGTTCTCTTGTTCTCTGTCTTGGATTTTGGTTGGGGTTTCTTTTTGGAGTAGGTGGATAATCTTCTTTATTTGGAATCCATTGGCTGTTAGTACATTGGTGAGAGTGTTTAGTTTGGTTTTTAGGTGTTGTTCATCAGCTAAGCATTTTGTTCTGGAGATGAGTGTCTCAGCTACGGAATTGATCTATGAGAGTGCATGTAGATAGCGGTTTGTATGTGTTTTCTTCTGGTAGATGGTGTGTCCTAGGGAGCCATTGGGTTTTTTGTATACCAAGACATCTAGGAAGGGAAGTTGATTGTTAGCTTCTGTTTCCATGGTGAATTGGCACTACAGACAAAATCAGCAAGATCCTCCAAAAACACAACATTAAAACAGCATTCTGCACAAACAGAAAAATATCCACTATCCTAAGAAACCCTAAAGACAAAATCGAGTTAGAAAACCAAGGAGTATACGAAATCCCTTGCACCGCCTGTCCCACCACATACATTGGACAAACTAACAGAAGAATAAGTGCATGCGTTGAAGAACATAAGAACTCAATCAAAAAAGAAGAACTGACCTCTTCCCTGGTCCAACACCTCAAAGCCACAGGACATGAGATTGACTTTAAAAATACCAGAACTATCGCCAAAACCGAACACTTCAACAACAGAATAATCAGAGAAGCCATAGAGATAGAAAAACGCCCACACAGCATGAATAAAAGAGATGACACCTCCCGCTTACCAGCCATTTGGAAACCCGCTCTCATGAACAGATGAGTACCTAACATGATGAATGACACCAGACCCACACCCACGAGGGCCACACAAGATGCCACCACCACACTTCCATGTAAAAAGCAGACTCACACCCACACAGAAGATGAGACACGACCACGGACCAGAAGCCACACTGCAGCTGCATCACTACCCACTTCAAACCCCTCTGAGCCATACATGAAGCAAACTGACCCCCACCATGAAGATGCAGCACGACCACGAACTTGAAGCCAAACAGCAAGATCACAGCTCACCAGCTCAAATCCCCCAGTAACTAAGACCAACCTGAGCACAACCAACCCCCCAACCAATCAGAACACAGCCAAACCCCCAACCAATGAGAACACACCCCCACCCAATCAGAACACAGCCAAGCCCCCACCCAATCAAGTCACACCCCCACTAGCAGTTAAAAGGAAGAAGCAGCTGCAAGCTCACATCACTTTGAGAAGCACAGCGCTGAAGACAGAAGCCTGAAGATGATGAATGAGACTTCATCAAAACGTTGCCTAGATACTTTCAATCTTACGCGGGAGAAAACCCGAATAACCAAAGATCCACATACAAATACCCGCGAGAACCTCAGAAAACAAATATATGTGTGTGTGTGTGTGTATATATATATATATATATATATATATATATATATATATATATTCATATCTCATATCTCATATCTCATATATCATATATCATATATATCATACATGCGTGCATACACACACACACACACACACACACACACTCCTTTTATCATTTCTGCTCCAATGGGTGCCACCAAATAGCTGATTTTGTCTGATTTTTTTTTTAAAAAATGGATTTGTATTTGCATAGGAGATTGCCAGAAAATCCATGGCTAGAATGGGAAATAGAAAATACATCCTGGAAGAAGTGGCAAACCACTGCCATATGACTGACAAGGAAAACTAGATGTATGTGTCATTAAATCACCAGGAATTCAGCTTGACTTGAAGAAGATCTTACTTTTATTATTGTTTCCATCACTTATTTAATGCCAATGCAGAATACAGAAATAAAACATCTTTTCTGCAGGAGACTTAAGGATTTTATACCTATTCTTTAAGAAATATGTTGCCTACTTTTAAATGAATGTCCAAGCTGCCTTTTACAGTCTCAGTGAATGACCACAAAACTCAGTGTTTTCTCATGTTAAAGCTATCAGAATATGAAGTTGTAAACTGATCTACACAAAGATAATTTTAAATGAGGGAAAAAATTAGGATTGTGATCTTTCAACTGGAACAAGCATATATCTCTGGAGATCAGAGTAGCTTTAACTCTAGTAGGATTCGAGAAGGCATTTTACAATCTGGCTTCTTTCTTGTATGCCTTTGGAGAATGAACATGTTTAGTTTCCTTGCAACATTGTCTGTGGAACATTGTAGTAATGTTCATTTTGTTTTGTCTCCCAGGGTAGCTGCCCAGGCAATTTGATCCTGCAAGGTTGGTGTTATTTGAGTTCCTTTGATTAACCAATGTCATCTATTGGGACCTGAAGAATATGCCTTTTCTGCAGCAGCTCCTGCATTCTGGCATATACTCATAATACATTATTATTAGCTTTAATATCCTATTTTAGCCCAATTACTGTATTTGAAGCATGAGCACTTAAACTCACATGCAGGCAGAGAGGATATAAGTCTCAGTAAACAAAATTTAATTACATTAAGTAAAAGAAGTGTAACATATCCTTTTTGTCTTTATGTGCAGACCATTTACTACCATGTCAAGCTAAGCGAAGACCAAACAAACCATAGTATAACTAGGCTCACAGGAATATGCAACTTTTCTGGGCTTTTCAGTGGGATGCTATGAGTCCTTTCCCATAAAATAGAGAGTGGGAAAGAGGCGAAACTACTTTTACATTTCCTTTAAATTAAATATAGTTCTTGTATTTAATCATTTTCCATTCTGCCTGGGGTATAAGCATGCATATATTTTATAATTTACTAACACATTTCAGAACTTGGAGGGCACATATGGTCCTAAGGTCACTGGTTATACATTTCTGATTTAATATGACAGTCGGATGAAGTATGTTGAGTTGGAAATGCATAGTTCAGAGTGTTAAGTTCAAGCTTTTTACAAATAGTATGCAACAGTTCAACATTCTGACCTGTAGTAGAAGAGAATCTAATAGCCTCCCTTTTCTCTGCTCATATTTATTTATGAGCAATTTCCATCTTTCACATAAGGTAACCATTGTCTTCTTAATCCTGTAGAAGAAGTAACAGAGGCTTCAGTTTCTCAATAAATAAATAAAATTCTAGAGAACCAGGAAGGAACAGAAATAGAAATAGGAAAATAGCTATCATGGCTTCTATAAATAGAATTATAGGTGTGGAAGATAAATACATAAAGACTCAAGTCCCTTAATTCTAGTGAGCCATGTACATTATTACAGTTTAATCTACCATTAATTTTACATTTAATACAGCAAATGTACTTGATTTTTCTGGTTAGAAGAAAAAAAGTTATTGTTATACAAATTCCTTTTGTGAACTTAAAGATGCAAAGTTTTCCTTGTGTGGCTAAGGGAAACTGAGACCCAGTGAATCTAAGTGATGTGTTTTAAGTTGTTCAGGGGGCTCATTTCAGACAACAGGTCTCTTCATGGTTTGCACTAGCCATTTTAAAATTAACACAGTGCCAACATTTGTGTTCCCATAAGCTATTTTTTCCCTTACCGTAAAAGCTGCTGTTTTTCTTCTTTATGTTTAGGTTGCTTAGAACAGGGGTCGCCAGCCTTTGGGACCTCAGGGACCACCAAACTCATAATTCTAAATCCTGCAGACCAGAGACCCTGGGAAAATCCCAAAAAAGTCTGCAGGAAAATTCCCCACCCTGTTTTCCTACCAATTGATCATTCTTTATTTAAGATCACAGAATACCATCTACAGCTCCGTTCTCAGGGGATGAGAGGGAGAGAGAGACTTTTGGCTTCATGCAAGGAAAGCAGCAGAAGCATCAGAAGTCTTTCTTTCTCTCCCCCAAACACTGCCAGAAATGAGTCTTTGTGAGACTTGTCGCACTGGTGCAGCCTCTTGGAGCAGTAGGCCTTGCAGGGTCCCAAAGACTCATTTATGGCGGAGTTTGGGGGAGAGAAAGAAAGACTTTTGCTGCTTTCCTTGCGTGCAGCCAAAAGCAGAAGAAGAAAGAAGTGGAAAGAAGCAGCCCGGTGGCCAGGCCAGGTGCGTGGGGCAAGTCCCCCCCTTCCCCTCACTACCTTGTGTTTTTTGTAATGCAAGTGACGCAAGCCTTGTGTTCCTGTGGGCCATGTGGGTGGCGCAGCCTTGTGTTCCTGCACAGCCTGGATTAATTGCTTTGGGGGTGAGATTTCTCTGCGGACCACCAAAATTTTCTTGTGGACCACCACTGGTCCCCGGCCCACTGGTTGGCGACCACTGGCTTAAAAGTTCCTAATGTGTTGTATTTGAGCTGGATTTATTTGTAAGTGGTGGCAGCAATTGTTTTTTCCTGTACCATAGTCTCTCTCACCTTTTAGGCTCTCCGGTGATCCATGATAATTCCTGATCTGAAGAAGCCCCATAGGATGACTTTCCCTGGGGAGTCTTCCCTCAGAATTTAATTATAACATGGAGAAAACCCATCATTGAATGAATGACTGGACATACTCAGGCATGCCCTTGCTGATTTGATAAGTAACAAAGATTTAAAAAAAAGCCTAAAAATCCCCAATGAGAATGACACTGATCTTTAATTTCTGCAAGAGTGAATTTTTCCCCTCATCAAATTGAAAGAAAATGAGAAAAAGGGGAGGACACAATAAGCCCAAGAGCAATTCTAACCTCTTCTCCTGTGAACTTCCAACTAAAAAACAACAACAACTGAACAAACTATTTTTGAGAACTGCTCCCCTGATTTTTCATCTTCTCGAACATTGATAATTCAGAAGGTTTTAGAAATGATCAGATTCAGACATGAACTATCCAGACTACTGCTCTCAATGTACTGTAAAGCTGCCCTGAAAGCATAAGAGAATATTGGGGGTCCATTTTATTCAGCAGAAGAGTGAGTAAAATGCAGAAATTGATTTATTCTACACAGAAATGAAGCAATTATATTTACTATTAAGTTTTTAAAGTGCATGTAAATTACAATGAAATAGCTTGCAAAAATATAAACCATCTTGCCAACATTGATACTAAACCAGCTTCTGAAAAGATAAATTGTTTGTTTTCCTGGATTCACTCCCATATACACACAAACACACATCCAAGTCAAGGGAGGAATTTATGAGCTTCTTTCTTTTGTAGTTCTCAGATGACATACCTGTCACAAGCAAAATGACCCCCTTCTATCAGCTGCTCTCCTTGGCCATTGGCTGCATTTGTTCGATGTTTCAACACCAACAGCACTTGTTCAAAATCCTCATGTTGCTTCAGGAGACTCTGAGTTGAATCCATGTGATCCTGAAGGAAAGACCATTAGAGTTATGATATCCCCACAATATTATTTCATGCCTATCTCCAGAACATGTGAATTCTCTGAAACTTGAGCTAGCTGGGTAAGGGTAGTGTAACAATAATCTAAGAGTATTCATCCCCCCCCGAATTTAATTAATTTAATTAGAAGTCTTAACGATGATACTAGTTGGTGTGAACTGCTGCTGTTCTCCATTCGCATCATTAGTTATGAAGTTCTGAGACCACCTGAGTGGAATTTGCCTTTCCTGGTTGTACAAATATGGAGGCAAAGCTTAGGTTCCTGACCTTCAGTGGTGTTATGCTATCAGTTTGGACCGGTTCAGCCAAACCGGTAGTAAAAAAAAAAGTCTCTCCCTGAGGGTTTTTTTGTAAAGCATTTTGTGGCTCATTGTATGCTTTTTGTTGAGTTAAAATGAATGGAATACTTGCTATTATTTATATTTATTTGAGTGTTGGTTTGAAGTGATTAGTTCTCATTTTTAATTGTTATTGTAAGCAGTCTGGAGTTGTATATAAGCTTTGTAAATACAGGTACTCCTTGACGTACAACAGTTCATTTAGTGACTGTTCAAAGTTATAACATAAGTGAAAATAAATCTTATGACTGTTTTTCACACTTATGACCGCTGCAGCATTCCCATGGTAATGTGATCAAAATGTGGATGCTTGGCAACTGGTACATATTTATAATGGTTGCAATATCCTGGGATGATGTGATCACCTTTTGGGACCTTCCAACAAGTAAAGTCAATAGGGAAGCCAGATTCACTTAACAACCATGTTACTAACTTAAATACCACAGTGATTCACTTAACAACTATGGCAAGAAAGGTTGTAAAATGGGGCAAAATTAAAATGGGGCTGTTTCACATAGCAACAGTAAAATGGGGCTGTTTCACATAGCAACAGAAATTTTGGGCTCAATTGTGGTTGTAAATCCAGGACTACCTATAAATAAATTCCAGTCTAAATTTGAAATAAAATCTTTAGTATTTACCCCAAGATTATCAGTCTGAAAAAAGGCCTCATGGCTGGAGATAGTAGCAAGGATTGAATCAACTTCTTTAATGAATTTCTGCAATGCTATATTTTCCTGTAGCTTCTTCTGTTGCTCCATCCATAACTTATCCAGGTCATTTCTTCCTTGAGAAATTCTGTGTATATATTCACCAACCTCAAGAGCTCCAATATTGGATGAACTATCTGCAACCTTCTCACCTAATTCTTGCAGCTGTTTAAATCTGTCAAAGATTCCAACACAATTGCATATATCACATATTTCTCTTGTTTGAATAATATCTACACATACTCATGTTTTAAGATTCAGAGTTACACAAGGTTTTCAGAGGCATAATTGATTAAATATATCTATTCAATATTTGATTCTCAGATGGACAAGGATGATAGCATTCAATTGTTATTGTGGAATATACAGCATTGTCCTGGTTCTTAAAATATTATGTTATTTTAGTTTAGAGAGTTCTATTAATTCATCCATTATAGATTGTAACCATCACATCCAACTTACTAAGGACTTAATCTTTCACATAAAGTCAACAATGGTAGCCAATAACTATGATTTAGCCATGTTTGCAAACCCCATCTCTGCTTTTGGTGACTGAAATAATATATGACTAGAATGAGTAATCATCTCTGACAGTCCTTTTTTTATTACTGTAATTATGGTTTAAAACTGTCCAAATAGGTATTGCAGATTGTATCTTGATCACTAATTGAGCAATTATTATTATTACATGGTCTTACAAGTACCTGTGATTCTGGCTGTGTATCTCTTTCAGCAAATCCTGATGTTCTTTCAAGAGCTGTTCTGCAGAGATCACATCTATGCATATCTCTTCACTTGTCAGTTTCTCCTTCATACCATCAATCCATAAGAGAAGTCTGTGGCTCTCTTGCAGAAAAGTTTGTTGATCCCTTGATATCTGCAAAGCCACCTTCTTCTCCCCTGTTTTTAACTTTAACATTAATAATAGATTCTCCATGTATTCTCCATGTTCTTTTATGGCATGACTCTCTGCAGGATTGGAATCTTGGATTCTGCAATGAAGCCAGAGACATATTCTTGAGTTAATTAATTCCAGATTATTAACCAAAAGTTGAATTTCCCTGAAAAAAGGTATGCCTGATATATTGAATACTGTTAATTCATTGATTTTGTTCCACATCTAAATATTATTATGTGATGAATACAATATGATATGATAAATTCCCATTATTTTGAAATTTGTGTAAATATATTTCCAGAAAATTAATTAGAATCTATGTTAGCATGTGTAGGGAAAATAAAATAAAAATGCATACAATGTTGAGCTAAGAGATACTAGCTGAAAGTTACTTCTAATTATCATCTTGCTGAATGAAGGTTTGCCTTCCTAGATCACTTTATTAATTGAAAATATTAAATTGATATGAAATGTCTTATGTATTTAGGGAAATGATATGACCATGAATAGTAGTAGAATACTCAATTCAAAGAGACCCAAGGTTAGTGCAGTGGTTAAAGAGCCAGAGTAGAAACTAGGAAACCATGACTTCTAGTCTTGCCTTAGACACAAATTCAACGACATGATTTTGGCCCAGCAACTCTCTCTCAACCCTAGGGAGAAAGGAATGGCAAAACCACTCCCCAAAAAACGGTGTCAAGAAAACTGCATGAATTAATCTGGGCAGTTTCTAGAAGTCAAGACAGACTTGGAGGCACACACAAAAAGTGAATTTGAAATTACTTAACCATGAATATCATTAAGCAATTTTGGGACAGTCATAGAAATTAGGAAGCTACTTATGCTAGCTGGAATTATTACTTCAAGTCAGGTTTTGTCTGATAGTAGAAGTGTTTGGTAGAAGTGTTACTCAATGTATCAGGGAGGACTTTATAAACCACTTTATATCTGATGCTTTTAAGATGTCAGTCGGGGTTAAAACTGCTAAGACAAATTCTCTACTATTGGTGATCATGGTCAGGAGCTTTCTTCTAGGTATAGAGTCCCTTTCAACTAAACTAATTTTGTGATTGTTACAATGAATTGAGTCAAAGAGGAGTAATATAGCTTTGCAGGTTATTCTGTGTTTATTGAGGGAAAGCAGGAGTTATCATAATTAAAAGAAAAGTTCTTGAAAAATATTCTTTTGGGCTTTGAGCATAAAGGCCATTCCTTATAACATTGATTCCTAAAGGAAATCAACCCTGACTGTTCTTTGAAAGGACAGATACTGAAGCTGAAGCTGAAATACTTTGGCCATGTAATGAGAAGAGAGAACTCATTTGAAAAGACCCTGACTTTTGGGAAAGATTGAAGGCAAAAGGAGAAGGGAATGGCAGAGGATCAGATGGTTAGATAATGTCATTGATGCAACAAACATGAATTTGGGCAACCGCTGTGAGACAGCGATAGGGGGGCCTGGTGTGATATAGTCCATGGGGTTATGAAGAGTCGAACATGACAATAACAACAATAACAATAACAACAAATAATATTGATAGTATTTGTGTGGCTACTATATTTGGTATGCAAATTGAAACAGACCTGAGAAGCCATCAATGTGATACAGAAAATTTCTGTCTACTGTCATCTTGTGACCATCATGAGTTTTACAACACAGACAGGATAGTCCTAATTATTCTCAATCTTTGGATGGAAAGTGTAGCATAAAACCATCATTTGTATATGCCAAGATGAGGGTAAAGGGAAGAAAGAGCAGTTGGTATTGTATCTCTGCTTTCATTTTAGGGAGTATCTTAATCAAGGACCATTTACATTGATGTGCTCAAGATTTTGTCAATAAAAGCAGCCATTATGGGTTATCCTACTTATTTCTATCGATGGAGAAACTCATTGTATGGTTGCTATGAGTTGATACTAACTTGATAGCATATAATCCCTCAAGTAACCAATCAATTTCTCTCTATGCAAAGTAATTCTAAACTCCGATCTATTCAATGAGGCAAACAACCTTTCTAAAAAGAAAAATGCATCTTATTTTTATTACTGCTAATCAACTAAAGAAAGAGATATGCATCATTGCTGTGCCTCAGTCAAGTTATATATGCAGGTGTCACTCTTTGCTTAAACAGATTATAAGTGTAACAACTACAATATTATTATTATAACATAGTAAAGAATTGATTTCTTACAAATTGGCTATCCTTTTTTGGTATTCAATTTTTCTCTCCAGAACTGAGATGTCTCTTTCACAGGCTGAAAGCTTGCGTGCCTGCACTTCCAAGACAGCTGGCTTGCTCCCTTGCCCCAAATCCTCAAGGCTGGTCATCTTGTCTTGTAACAGTTCTTGAGTGTCATGGCAATCCTGAAGGAATGTCTTGACATCAGTAACCCCAATCAGTTCTGAGCCTTTTTCTTCTTTTAATGCTTCCAGACATTCCCACCTAAAAAAAATAGACAACAATAAAGCAGAGCTCATTATGGTTACTCAGGAATATGTCTGTATGTAGAGAGATTTTGAATTTTAAATTTTAAGAATAGTTTAAATATAGGAAGTAGAGAATAGCAATAGCCCATTATGTTGTTACAAGTACATTGGAAAACAAATATGCACCTCGGTGTCTAAAGAATTTAGGCTCTTGGCAGCTGCCTAGACAAGTCCTTGAGGTTTTCTTGGGAAAGTGTTTCAGAAGTAATTTGCCATTGCCTCCTTCTTAGGGCTGAGAGGGAATGACTGGCTCAAAGTCACCTAGCTGGTTTCGTGCCTAAAGTAGGACTAGAACTCCTGGTCTCCAAGTTTCGGGCTGGTGCCCAAACCACTATACCAAACTGGTTCTCATAATAATTACTATTAGGGTAAAATAAGAATAAACATACATGTTTCAGAAAAACTAATTATTACATATATATTTAAGGATGTGGGTCTTTTCAAACATTTGCAAGTTAGAGTCTTATATGTCACTGCACCCAAGTGTTTAAAAGACCATATATCAAAGCTGATGTGTTCATTTTCTATCAGCTGTATGATTATTATTTTTTTACCTCTTGTTTATCTGTTGCTTACGAGTTTGGATCTCCTTCTGTTTTCCAGGACATCTCTTAGAAAATATATCTGCTGAAGAACTGATCTCCGCCAGCTGTTTTTCCCCAGCAGCCAATTCTATTAGGAAACTCTAAGGAAAGAGACAGTAATCTAAATCATATATTTTCAGCTCTGCCATGGTTATTTATGGAAATAATCTTGGCTGGCCTGGGAGGAGTAAAACGATAAACATATGCATGATGCTCTTTGCCACCATCACAATTTGTTGCAGAAGCTGTTAATTGTTTGCAATTGTTTACAATCACTGTCTTATGAAAAAGTTTCTTTATTGTAATTAATGTTTTCGCATATTAAACATGTTTCCAGATGGGGCTGGCTCAGGCACTATCAGCCAAACCTAATGGGCAGCTATTCCAATTTCATACCTTAACAGATTTCCAAAAGACTTAACAGAAGTCTGAAGAAATGGTGGGGAAAATGGGAGGATTGCAAATGGAAAATAATAACATCAAAAATATCACTTTAATTGGGTACCCAGGGTTTCTCCAATTTAAAGTGGTTAGGATAAACTCAGTCCTTGAATGGGTAAAAAACTTTTCCAGCATTTATTTATGCAATGTATTAATCCAGATGGAATTTATAGATACTGATAGGATAATAAAAGAATTACTATGTTATTAAAAGGCAATCTGATACATTAAAACAAATACATATTGGTGCCAGTGGGTCCCCTCTTTTGCACTGGAGGGGGCTTAGAGGAGAGATGGGTTTTGACAACACCAATGGGTTTGTCTGTCAGTCAAAACTCACTCCTGGTTGTGTTTGTTTCAAACAGCCGCTACTAGAAGAAGTTGTATGGTAGAGTGGATAAGAAAAATGACTTTATCTTTTCCTCCAGCATTCCAACTAGGGTGTCTCTTGAACAAGCACACGACCATTTCTCAACCTGGTTTAAGAGCTAATGAATATACTTTGCTGCTGGCTGACAGGTTTTGAAAGTTGTTTGAAAAGGTTCTATTCACTTTTCAAAATAGCCAGCCAGTTCCCAATAGCTGTTGAGAGAGAGAGAGAGAGAGAGAGAGAGAGAGAGAGAGAGAGAGAGAGAGAGAGAGAGAGAGAGAGAGAGAGAGTGTGTGTGTCAGTCCTGTTGGTAAGAGCCAGGTGATCCCACTGGCCCACCAGAATGGCTTTGATGGACCATGTCAGAGGAAGACCCGCAACAGCCTGAAATGCTTAACAGATATCAGGCCATTCCATAGGGTTTATTGAAATAACGCTGATGGATAGATCAGGGCTATCAAACTCGTGGCATCACCTTGTCATCATGTGACATATCATGCCTTTCCCCCCCCTTTGTTAAACTGGGGTAGATGTGGCCAGCATGTGACACATCTGGCCCATGGGCCACGAGTTTGACACCCCTGGAGTTGATGGTGAAACAAATTAAGCTGTACCACATGCAGGCTGCTAAGAGTTGCTGCCTTCTTGGGTTGTATTGTATGGGTAAACATTGGAAGACCTAAGGCTAATTTAGGGCTATTCAGGTTGGGAATGAGATGAAAGTAACTTTGTGGAAATATGAACAGACACACACCCAAAGTGGAGGAAATCCAGGGCATATTTGCCAGGGGATCAGATACAAAGGGGAAAGAATTTAAGGTTTATAAAGGCATAACTTGTCTGGAATGAATCTGTCTTCCTTTTTTATGCTTTCATTTTTTTAAAGTGAAGCTCAGGATTAAAAAGTAGTTTGCATATGAACATACAATAATCTACCTGCAAATACAGGTAGTTCTTATTTAATAATGGTAATTGGGACTGGACTTGTTAAATCACAAATAATTTATCACCAATTTTTGTTCTTCTGAATAATCCCTTTGCTTAAACTTTGCACTGGGTTTCAAATTGCAATATTATTTTCTATAACTTGTAGATCCTCTGCTTGTCCAATAATTAGCCTGCAAAGGTATTTCAATTTCAATTAAGTCTCCATTGTTTTGGCTGCTATAAACTAACAATGAATATTTCACAGTCTAAACAAGCACAAGTGGTTTTCTTTGCAGATTTACCAGTCAACCAAGATATCTAATAATTGGCTAAAATTCTTGCCATAGTTTTACTAAAATGTAATATTTTATGTCAGTGTTAATCTTTTGTAAATGGAAACAAATCAGGAATTCAAAGTTCAGGCTGTTAATAAAGACCTGGAATTTTTGCTGCATAGCTTCTACATTGTCGGCTTTGGGTTGAATGGTCTGGAAAATTTTCTCCTTGTCATCTATCCAAGACTGAAACTCTTCACAGGAGTTGTAATATTGATAGAGTTGGATTCTTTCTTGTAACTCTTTTTTCCTATGCTGTTTGGAAGAAATTGGAGATGCTTTAATAAGCACTAAAGCATTGTGGATAAAGTACAGTAGGTATTCTAGCAATAAAATTAGTCAGAAATATCAGCTGAATTGAAGAAAACCCATGTATCTAAACCCTTCATTATACACACCCATCTAAAGATAATTAGGAAAAAATAATACCTCAGCCATGGTTTGCAGTTTTTCATGCAGCAAAACAATGTTCTTCTGCATTTTCCATATCTTTTCCATAATAAAGTGTGAATCAGAGCCAAGCATTCCAGTGAATGTAGGTTTGACAAGAGTCTGTGAAAGATAATGATTTGATGGCATTTTAGCTACTCTCTGGTTATTGATTTCTGAATTTGCTGCTGGCACAGATGCCATCTGCTCAGAGAATTAGACACAAAATTCTATGCTTAATACCGAGTTCTATCACTCACAAATATTAACATATGCTTAGTGCCAGCTTAATTTATATATATCTATGGAGATTCTTAGTCATCCAGGTCATGGCCCAAAGCTCCTTTTTCAAGAGGCAACTGGACTTGCTTGTTTTTCTTTGGAGACATTTCTCTTATCACCCAAGAAGTTTCTTCAGCTCTGACTGGGTGGTGGGGAATGGAAGGATCTATTCTCCTTACAGACAACTGGTCATTTGCATTCTTTTTAGAGAGTCATTGAGGCCACTTGGAGGTTTATCTGTGCTTTCAGCAGTTCCAAGAAGACTCCTCATCCATTTGTACTGCTCAGGTGACCCCGAGGACACAGATAAACCTCCAAGTGGCCTCAACAACTCTCTAAAAGAATGCAAATGACCAACTGTCCGCAAGGAGTATAAAGCCTTCCATTTCCCACCATCCAGTCAGAGCTGAAGTTTTTTGGATGAGAAATGAAATGTCTTCAACGAAAATAAAAATCAAGTTGCTTCTTGAAAAAGCACCTTTGGGAATTCATTTATATACTTAAAGATTGATTAGTATTACAAAATAAGGTGCATCTAAAAGATAAGAGTTTATTAACCAGAGATACTTAAATATACAAAACAGATAAAATGAGATTGCCTTAAAACATTAAGGTTTGAATAAGCAAGCAATACAGGAAAAGATTGATTTGATCACTAGAGAGAATGAATGGGGATCTAATCACAAAACAAAAGCAGATGTGGATGTTTTTACATTATCATATAATCCAAATAAATAACATTTACCTTCATAGTTTCAAAATGGCAATTTCTTGTTTTATAAATTAAGCATTGAATATTAGGGAGTAGGCAGAAATCTCATATGGAAATATGAAATCACAATGGCTAAAATCTCAGGCCTTATATAGATCCATGGAAGAAGGAAAACATGACATTTGTAGGGGGAAAAAATTATCAGAAATCACAGGAACGGAATTTATTTTAAATAAGATGAATGAGGAAGGCAATTGGCGATGCGTCTGTCTCATTTCGTGTTTTTCCAACTTGTCAACTTTAAGCATGTCAGTGGGGAATTCTGAAAGCTGAAGTCCACACATCTTAAAATGTCCAGGTTTAAAAAACGCTGGTTTAAGTGCATCAGTAAGTTGGTGTATATTTTGGGCAGACAGTTATGTAACGATTGCCTGGGTGCTACATACCAATTGCTGCGCCACAGAATGGGCCTGTTCCTCCAAGTGGCTTATTTCTGTAAAATAAGCAGCAAGCTCCTTTTCCAAACGAAGATGACGATACAACAAAGCTTCTGCACTAGATTCATCTTTCCCATAATCTTTGCTGGCTAGGAGAGTGTGTTTTTCCTGGAGCCAGGAGTCAACCTCATTAATATCTGCAAAGTACTGAAGGGAGAAACAAGATCAAGATATTGTGGTGATACCTACAGATGACATCCCACTACAGAAATAATGTATGCAAAGGAATAGAATCATTTGCTTAAATTCCAATGTAGGCCCCAGAGCTACATTTTGCCCACAGTGAAAAAAATTGATAAAACTTGGTCAAAAGTAGTATAGTATACTAGAAGTGGAAAAAAACGAATTCACTTAATATTTTTAAAGATGATATTAAAACACGGAAACACACACTCATATCTATACAAGTAAAAAGCCTAGAAAATTGAGAACTGCTAGAACAGTGGCCTCTCTTACTATAACCCCATTAAAACCATTCACTTATGATATGGTGATAGAGTATCTTAAAGAATTCAAGGTGGAAGTTAATAATAGCAATTGTCAACTTCGAAATGACTTTGACCGAAGCCATATTTATTTTTTGCTTTGTTTCTTTGTTGCCATTCTTGGGGGAGGGGGGAGCTAGAAAGGACTGGAATACAATGCCGGAGTCCACTAGACAAAACATCAACCAGACGCAGCATGTGAACCAAGGTCATGGTAATGACTATCTGCTGAGACCAATGGGGAGCTACTGCTGGACTGACTGGTTAACATGACCCAAGACACCTGAGGGGGGTAGGAAGTTTCTATTCTGTTTATTACTCTGAAGCATGGGAATTATCCAGAGCTAGCCGCTGTCATAAAACATTTTCTATGCTAACCGACTGGAGTTTCTGCCGCACAAAACTCCAACTGGAGAGAATGATTGATGACTCTTGGCTATGGATGTGCTTTGTTGGAGAATATGAATTATGATGCACCCAGAGGGGTGGGGGAAAACCAGGGTCAAGGTTGACAATGTCTTAGAATTGGCTACATCCAGGTCATACTAATATGTCGCTCCTAATGAATTCTCTGAAGCTCTTTGAAATTTGGCTCAAGGCTCATGATTTATTTAGGGCAATTGCTGGAATTCTGATAGCCACCTTTCTAAGTGCCAATATGATATATTCAGTAAAAGGTATTTCAAGCCTGAATCGAACTTCCGAGTCTTCATTCAATAGGGTTCTTTGCTTGGAACTATGAAAGCAATAGCATTAGCACTTAGACTTATATCTTGCTTCATGGTTCTTTACAGCCCTCTCTAAGTGGCCACAGAGTCAGCATATGGCCCCCAACAATCTGGGTCCTCACTTTACCAACCTTGGAAAACTGGAAGGCTGAGACAACTTTGAGCCTGGTGAGATTTGAGCTGCCAACTTGCAGGCAGCCAGCAGGCAGCAGAAGTAGCCTGCAGTACTGCACTCAAACCACTGTGCCACCACAGCTCTTAAATTATTAAAAATTAATAATATTTTTTTCAACTTTTTTACCTTGTTTGGACAAAGGAGGAGACTGACTTACCTGTTGAATGAGAACAGCTGTATTCAAGCGCATCTTACAATTAGTCATCTCATGTTGGAGCTGTTGCCACAACTGCTGGATGTTTTTCAACTTCTTCCAAATCTCTGGGTTTGAAGGATTGTTCTGGTTTAACTCCTGGCCCTTGCAAATTATCTTAGAACAAATTGCTTGATGGGAGTCACACTCAATTTGGAGGGACTGCCAAACAGAAATTGGGAGATTATTGTTGGAGGCTGCCATAACACTATAAAAAGCCAATAAAGTATAGGAGTTAAGGACTGGGAGTGGGGAACCTAAGTTTCTGATCTACCTTAAGCCATGGGTGATTTAGAACTAACCACTTTTCTCTCAGATCAACCTATGTACAGAAAAACGTTTGATGAAGGAATGATGAATTGAAACAAAAACCAAGGAATTTATGAGTAGATTGGTTCCTTGGAATCTCTCTAGATAAGGAGAGGATGGGAGATTACCCACATGTGCTTTGGATAGCTGTTCCTCACTGCAAGATAGCAGTTTTTCAAGGGTTAATGGTATGTGAAATGTCCTTGGAACATAGAAGTAAGAGATGTTGCCTAGGAAATGAACAAATAAAAAGTGGACGAGTATGCAGTTGTGCAATGAACAGAGAAATTTTTTTAGAAAGGATCCACCCTAACTTATTAGAGAGTAAAAAAAGATGGCAGGAAATTTGTACTTTTAGATATGCAAAATTCTTACAATGTATGAAGCCTTACAATAAAGTAGAATTAGTTCATCTTGTTATGTTTTCTATGCAGTCTACTTGGGATGCTGGCAGCAACCACAATATTAAGGATGGTAATGATTTTATGTTTCTCTAGATAGATTATGTCCAAAAATATTGACAAAATGATAGTTTCAAAAGTGGTCCTGCAATTGACAGAGAATGACTTAGAAAAGGATGCTTCAGTGGATCCAGTGATGGGATTCAATTTTTTTTACTACCAGTTCTGTGGGCGTGGCTTGGTGGGCATGGCAGGGGAAGGATACTGTAACATCTCCAATCAGAGGCGGTGTTAGGTATAACATTGATACCAAATATGGTTTGGGTGAATAAATAT